CGTATTGGAAGAAAATTTGCCATTTGATTTCATGGTTGCTAGTTCCACTGTGTATATATTCTAATACTACTAACTATTTTTGAACATTTCAGACAGGAAACATTCTCAAACCATACTAAAATCTAGCTTATTCTTTAAAGAATTTAAAACCTTCTTTTTTTTTTGCAATACTGAGGCATAAACATTACTTGATGGAGTGTTGCAGTTTTTTCCTCTGATTTCTCGTTCTCCAAGTAGCATGCTTGATGTTCGTGTTTGAACGGATATTTATCAGAAATACTGGTTAGTTTTGGACACCATGGATATAATAATATAGAAGTAACTGCCAAGAAAAAAAGGGTTGTTAGAAAATACTTCGATTGCAAGAAAGAGAAAGATTGAAGGAAAATAAAATGCTTTAAGCAGAACCGGACATTTTCAGAAGTACTATCGAGTTCCGGACTCTCTTACGTGGTAACGAACTACATTCGGTCCTTATCTAGTAGACACTTTTCTTAGTCTGCAGCTATGATCCTTAGTGTATTATTCGTGTGATATGACTTTAGATATTACCAGGACTATATTTGTTCTTCACGATATCTCTTCAAATAGTTTGAGGTATGCTGCGGAGTTGGTCGCCCCAAACCAGATATCTAAATTCGTGAACATTTGGGTTACGTGGGTTTTCAATATAATTTATACTACTATCTATGAACATAGGGTTACGGGTATATTAATTTTTTTGTCGAATACGACCCATTATATTATATTTCGGGTCCTTTTTGAGCTGCAGCCGTGGCGAATAGTTTCTCAGTGTTGCAAATTTAAGCTTTCATCCACAATGTCAAATTTTTTTTATACTAACCCATCTAAGCACTAAGATCTATTGTAGTTTAGGCCAAGTCCACACTAACCTCATATTACAAAGTTCTGAGAAAGCAACCATATACTTCCAATGTATGCATCCTACATATTGGCCAACTTCACATTTCGGTTAGCTATAGGCCACCAAAACCATATCAACGAAAGTTAATCGGTAGCTTTAATAAGTGAAAGTATGTTACATGGATAGTGCCTAGTTTTCATGATAACAAATATTTTGTTGTTTTTTGTTTTCGACAACAATAATTACATATGGAAATGTATTGAATAACAAACATACATATGCCACATCTATATTTGCATGAGTAACTGATTATGGTGAGAAACTTTATAGCCGAACACAGATGCTTGTATAAAAGTTTATTCGCTCGTATATAAGTTTGAACATGATTACACCATGTACCGCTTGAGTACTTGAAGTTCAAAACGGCCGCTTTTACGCCATCACCCGTTAATATTATATAAATGGCTATGATAACAGTACTGATTGTGAGAGGGCAGCTTAATTGATGAATGAGTGGACAAATAACAAATGAGCGCTAAATAAATATATATGTTGAATATACTCACTACGTATACATGTGGATGCTAGTGTAAAGACACCACCATAACGGTACATTAGAAAAAATCGGATTGCTTTGAGATAGTGTCGTGTGGACTTTGTACTGTTTTGAAAAAAATGTCGGTATTGGTGGTGGATATATAACATATTTGATTGACCAAATTTCCGTTAGCAATCCTTCCATTTTTATAGGTGGGGTGTATCAGCTTAATATATTGTAGTTACGTGAATACATAAATATAACACTAAAAGTTTTTTACAGGACCAATAACGGTTGATTGAAAAGGAGGCGCAGGAGCGCCAGACTTCAGGTGGCCGCATTTAGGCCAGCACTACAAGCATTGGGCCAAATTAAGCAACGGTTGGTAACCAAATTAAGCAACTCAGTGGATTTGGTAAAAAACCTGATCTTTTTGCATCCCACCTGCCTCATGTATCTTAGGTTGGAGCATTGAGAGCTGTGAAAGATATCCAGCCACAACTAGCTGAAGGCTATGCATTCGCAAAGATAATGTACCAGCATGTTCGGCAATCCGGTGAATCCACTTTTCTAATTTTCTGAAGTTTTCTTTTATCTAGAAGTAAAAGCTTTTCGGTCTATCCACCAACAACAATACCTCAAAATAACTTTATGGTTTGCCCAGTGTTGCTAGTGTTCTAAGGTCTAGGTTGTTCCTCTAGGGTCCATTGTTTCGAACCACCCGGGCAGTTTAGGCGATGTTGTTCCTAGATACTTTGTCGTTCCTGCTGAGCCTAACCAAAACTTAGCGTCGGTAGTATGGTTGTCATTCCTTTATAGGTGCGATATAAAACAACTCTGAAGTTAGACAATACTAAAAAAATGTCTTTGTATTTTATCTGCGGCCTTATATTTTCAGATGCCATCAAGATTTTGAACTATCGAAATATTACTATTCATGGAAATTTCGTGTATTTGGCATTATGACGCCCAAATTTCCATAATATTGAGAAGAGTTATCACTAAGCCGGTAAAAGAAAAATTTTATAATCTACGTACTGGACCTTCTCGAGTATTGGTAATGGTCCGTTTCATTTGATATTCAGGATGAAAAGTATGAGGTTATGATTGTCCACCGTAAGTTGTGGCTCTCGAGGAATTATTAAGCCTTGTACTTCTAAGATAGGTGCTGCTAATATAATCCAAATTCCTGCGTTATCGCTCGAGATTAACCGAATTTTTGTGGAGGTTTCCGTAGTGGGAAACTAATTTTTATAAGTATATGAAAGAAAATGATTATATACTATATCTTACTCAGCCATTTGTGTACAAATTTACAAAACCCTTAGTTAGTTTATTACTCGTAATGTAAACAGCGAGCTCAACGTTGTCACGTTGGATTTGCACCTTTAGCATTTTGAGCTTATGAGGGTTCAAGTTCGAGGACATGTACAGCATATCAGACTTTTTGTTTTAAGGTACATATTTAGTGCCGCAAGTCCATCCAATTGAACCTATGCATATTATTCTCGAAACCCTCATACGAACGGACGAATTATCTATACTACAAATGAAAGTGAAATATTCCATAATATCTCATACTCACATACTCAGCGATTTTAACCTGTCCCAATCGCCTTTTCATTAACTCGTAGTCACCTTATAATTGGTCACCCAGGTGTATAATTGCCTGCATAAATTCATCTTCACCCAAATGGAAATGCACATTTACACAGCATATATTTGCATGTATCGGTGGGTGTATATGCAAATCGAAAACTGAATGAAGTTTAGGTTCATCGCTATCTCTCTACCAACACTTGCCGCCCTCTTTGTTTATCGCTGCTCGAAACTCGGGCACTCGTGTGGAGTGTGGATTTCCGAGAAAAGAAATTTCCACCAAAATAAACAGTAAATTCAGTTAAAGCTCAGTGAATGCAGCAAAGCGCAAAACCGAAAAGGCCAAATCGAATGAGCAATGTCCAGCAATGACACATAGCAAATGGAGCTAAAGTGGAATATCATTAGTCATATTACTCCCAGCTGAGTCATTAAGTCATATACGAGTATGTAAACGGTTTAATGTGAAATTTCTTATTTTAGACAGCGCGCGTTTGTGCGTTCGTTCTAGCGTATTGAGGCGCCCCTCGTCCCTAATGTCATTTAGTCATTTGGCCAATTCGGTAAACGCTTTCGAATTTGCCCAAAGTTGATATGAGTACCGTTACTCGCAACCCGAAGTTATCGTGTGCGTATATTTTGCTTTACAACAACAACTTACCTGTTGTTGTTTTTGCTTTCGTTGATGCTATTTTGCCATAGCGCCGCTTTCCAGTTTGTTTATCTCTCTTTTCCCAGTAGCATCCTCTTCGACGCTTCTACTTTTCTCCTTTTGTTGCCATAATCGTACGTCACTTGTTCGGCAATGGCTTTTGGTTTTTTGATAAATGGTCACTGGGACATGTGAACAAGTCACTTAGGTCGCTATTGTTAGCCTGCAGCAGCGAGAGGTTGAGTAAGTGCAGTTGCTGTAGTGGTGCAGCTGGCAGCACTGGTATTACATAAGTTTTGACAAATTGGTGTTAGAAACTTTGTCAGCTAGCTGGAGCGTTATACTTAATATTAAATATACATACATACAAGTATTATTAACGTATTTATGATAGGTATGATAACAATATAAATGGCATGCTTAAAGCTCAGACAGGTGTTCGGTAAAGCTTATACGCCAATGTGTTATCTACAAGGACGGAATACGATTTTGAGATCATAATTTTGATGGTAGAAATACTTGTAAAGTTGCAATGTTGGCTACTGAAAGGGGCGAAAGAGATATATACAGGTTAGGTTAAGTTAGGTTAATAAAAAGTATGTTTAGACCAGATACCATATAAAGCTCGGAAGTAACACTCTGTAGCTCAATATGGAGAAAAAATTTTTTCTGCTGCTAAAGATTGTTGAATAGGTTTAAAGAAGTGTATTGTGATCTTCAAAGCCAATCAAAGAAGTTTTATATCTCGTCATGCAAATAAAAAGCGAAAATAACCAAAAACTTAGAAATTTAAAGGCCAAAAATTACTTTTTTATTTAGCATCTCCTTTATACTTTTCTAACCTTAATAACTAGGTTACGTTCGATTTTATTTAGCATTGCGGCTGATAGCTACCACAGAGTTCACGGGGATCATAGTTGGCCAGTTGTCCTCCTCCGGCCTCTGTCGACATATTACTCCAAAAGCTGGATCTTTATAACTTTCGAATGAAGTTTCTGACGGTAGACACTTCTCCAAAAAATCGTCTGTAGTATGAGAAAAAATTTTCAACAATAGTCATTTACAGAGTATTTTTATACCCTATACAGGGTATATTAAGTTTGCAATGAAGTTTGTAACACCCTGAAGGAGACGTCAAATATCAATAAATTATTCTTATTTACAGGTATGGCCCAGTTTTTGGTCTTCAGTTGAACCTTGCAATCGTAAAAGTGATAAATCGCGACTGTAAAGCAAACCAAAAATAAAAAAAAAACAGTAAAAGTAATATAAGTAGCGAAATTGTGCAAAAACACTGTTCAATTTCAATTAAACAGTTACAAGATCTTGCAACAAAATGTTGCAACTATTACGCCTGTTAATTTCCTTGCCAGGGCGAAATGTCACGACGAAAGCACTAATTTCCCATTGCGAAATCAAAAGTAAAAATAAGAAATAAACGCAAAAAAAAGAAATAATTAATAAAACAAAATAACGGCAAAGAAATCCCTTTTGCAGTTGTGCAACAGTACTGCAGTTACGAGTACAACGCGCAATATCCGCTCACTAGATACGAACGAGAGGAAACTCATTTGCGCCAACTGTAAAACACGGCTGAAAGCACAAACGCTACAAAATACTCAAACGCGCCAGACGTTGCAGCATTGTTGTTGCATGCAACAAATACCAGCAACGCTAAATCGGTTAAGTATTGTATTTTATAGCGCAAGTGCAAGTGATTTATGAAGTTCAAAGTTGAAGCTGACAGTAGGCGCACGAAATGCTGCACCAAATAATTACAACAACAGCAACAACAATAACAAGCAGCTTATAAGCTTCTTAAGCACAAACAAATTAATTTACAAACATGCATATGTACAACATGTTGCACGTGGCCGCACAACGCTTAGCATCAGGTGCCGCTACTAATGCCATCTCGGACGGACGCGCTGTAGCAGCGGCGCACCCATCAACACTGTCCGCAGCCTCGTCCGCATCGGCGTTCGATAGCGACAGCACGGAGCAGTTGTGGGGCAATAATATATTCAATGATGATGGCAGTGGCGAGGAGTTGTACGAAGCGTCTGGCTTTGCGGTCTTGTGGAGCACCGACAGCAACAATAACAATGTCACATTTAATACCACAGAATTTGTAATGGCTTCCGCAAATGGTATTCTACTGCGGACGATCACCTCACTGCAAGATGTCACGACGGTAGCGACGGATTTCAGTGACTCCTTTAATCCATACGAAACGCATGAGAACAACTATTGGGGTTTGTTGGCGCTGGTGTTGGTCTTCGCCACGGCCGCCGGCAATATTCTTGTCTGTCTGGCGATCTATTTAGAGCGGCGTCTGCAGAATGTGACCAATTATTTTCTCATGTCACTGGCGATCACTGATCTGATGGTGGCGGTGCTGGTGATGCCACTCGGCATACTGACGCTGGTGAAAGGTGAGTCTTATTTTTTCATATTAATTATTTTATTTATATACTCGCTTTTGCTTTGAATCTAAAGTTTAAAAAAATTGCATTAAAAGCTATATCGTAGCTGGCAACTCTAATTTGCGTACTACTTGCGAAATATAATCAATGAAAAATCTTTTGGTCAAAACTTAAGGCCGTAGTCTGGTAACTTGCATTTTTCTAATGCTTTTTTGAGAATATTTTATTTGAAAAAAATGAGATTCACTTAGTTTCATTTTTTATTTAATATATTATTAATAGTATCTCAGAAAAAAAAATTTTTTTTTGTCTTCTTTTTCGAAAATTGTTGTTTTATAGCACTGAAGTGAGTGTCCCACAGAAAAAAGGAGGTGGCTGGATACGGTGATTTCGTCGCTTGAGGACATCTGAAATAGAAAAATTAAGAAGATTATTGTTCTGAAAGCTTATCATTCTGTTGGATAGAAAAGAAAGTGTTTAAAGGTTCAACAATAGATTAAATATGTTTCATACTTATATTTACTAGGGTCACCAATGGTTCGACAAATAGAAAATACAGTTTATTTAATTTGGTGTTGTCAAACACATGATGCACGGTCCATGCAGTGTTTTGAATTCCAGCTCTGTATATGTGCAATATGTAAAATGTTCAAAATAATTTTCAAAGTATTTTGTACAATTAACCAAAGAATCGGTTAATTCTTATCCGTTGTATAGAGAACGCGATAATAATGTTTCCGTTGATGTTAGAGGAAAGTATTTAGATAATCGTTATGTCGTTTCGTAGAATCCATATTGGCTTGCAAAATATAATTGTCACATTATAGTCGAGGTTCCGGAAGTAATGGGATATCGTCAAAATACACCAAGAAATTATTTCTCGAATTGAAGTGCTGTTGATGTCGATTGAACCAACTAATTAACCTTGAAAAAAAAGTTTACAAAATTTTCGTAAAACTTTCTAACTTATCAAAATAAAATTAATGATATCAAATCATATTTCCACTTCAATGTGATTTTTTTGTCACAAAGAACTTGAAATGTAATGTGCGTTAAAAATTTATTTGTAACAGAATTCAGTGCTGCAACACGCAAAGTCCCAACACAATTAAAAGTAGAATAAAATCGCAACCACAAATCCGCCGTAAACGATACACAATTATCCGATATATGTATTTGCAACTTACACAGAACAGCGACGAAATGTACTTCTATATACGACTGTGTTAAGTGTGACGCGCAAAGAAAAAATAACAGCGACCTATAGAGCCGCGCCAACACGCTTGTAGTTGTTGAGGTTGCTAAATTTGCGTTAACCGGGTTTTTACTGTGTTCCCGTTGACGTACATATAAAAAAAAATCACGTTGTGCACTTCGGGACGTCTTCTACTTTCCAGCGGTATACACTTTTTTGTTCGCGTTATTATATATAGCTCATTATAGACAAATCATACTACATACCAATCGTTTATCCCTGGTGCGAACAATAATCCTTAAAACTTATTCATAGGCCTTATTTTTAGCCACTTTTTTTTTACCTGTCAATCATTCTGGCAATTTTAGAAAGATAAGTTGCGTTCTTCTTCGCTTTCGAAATACTATAAGACGCTCACGTAAGGGGCTATAACTTCGTCAATATTTTGATCAAGTTACCAGATTACTACTTTAAAGATTTATGGTTTTTTGAGTTTTTCCATTAACCTCAAACTTTATTTTAAGTCACGATTTTCACTCACTACATAAATTTTTGTTGTTATGTGTATATATTATTCATGATATTGTTAATATATAATGCTTTTATTTAGATACATACTATTATTTGACAGAGTGCTTTTGTGTATAAGTCTAAATTTGAACTGAACAAAAATATATGTTGCGTATACGACCTGTTGCAGGCGTTAACAGGGTGTGTCAGCAAGTGTTGCAAAGACAATTTATGTGGGGGTGGTATAAAGTAAACTAGAAGCTCGAAAATATTTATATTAAATATATTAGGAGAAAGTACCGAACTAATTTTAGCGTCAGGCCAGATAAATAACAGGAAAACAAACACAGGACCGATATTTTTTATATAAAGTTTCAGATTGGTGGGGGCTTAAAAACACTACCTTTCATTCATTTTTGAATGAGAGCTAACATACACTATTTACTCTAAGTTCTGATATCATGGTTGGGATTTGATTTATATATTATAAAGCAAAAGAGTCTGATGAATTTCGGAAGTAGGCATAATTGCTTGTGAAGATATTGTTATGCAAAAAATTTGGTTGAAACTGGTCGAGTATAACTCTATCTTACAATCCTCATTGTAACACAATGTTGTTGTTCTTTTAATTATTAATAGTTTTGTTCATCTAACGGTTGTTTGTGTCACCTAAAAATAATTGAAATAGATATAGGGTTATGTATATCGGTCAATCTGTGTAGTATTAAAATTCGGCGAGAATATTTTTGTGATGATAGAATCCCTGTGCCAAATATGGGTCAATGATTCCTTTAGGACCCATATGCCTACTATTATAAATATTTTCGAAATTCTGGTTGACTTGCAATACAGCATCTATCGGTCATTTTGAAGAGATCTTCAGGATATTCAGAAAAAATCTTTATCTACTAACAGTCTAACCTCTTGCCTAATATGGATGACATCAGGACAGTACTTTCCCAAGTCCCCTTATACCTAATATACGGATTTTCAAACATAATTGACTTTATATACAATATTGTATATATTGGTCAATCTGTGAGGTTTCTTAGGGCAATTCAGAAACCCCTATTTCTGGTAATGATATGTTGCAGCACTGGATAAAATCTAGTCAAAATATATCTTATACGTATAAGAAAATTGATATGAATTATACAGGAATTTCGAACTCCTGGTTTCCTTTATACTATATATATGAAAGTATTTCCCCGATTTGATTCTTGCAAGTTGTGAGAGTATAAAATGTTCGGTAATATCCTAACTTAACCTTTGTTTCTTACTTGTTTTAGTAATTTTTGGCATAAGGTTTGTATTGGAAGTGGAGACCAACTTAATTGGAGGTCACGTCCTTTTTTTAAAACCGCTCCATCCCCCCTACGGTGACCATCTGTGAAAAGTTTTAGTTTGTCGACGTGGCAATGCTCTGAATTTACACCACAGCAATACCAACTGTGTTGCTTGTTAATCCACTCAATTTGATTATGCCGGTTATTTATTCGTTTCGTAACTATTCAAGATTTGGATTAAACAATGCAAATGAGTAAAAATCGGAAACGACTAGTAACAAGTTGAGCAAACCGGATGTACACAAAAGCACAAAGAAATATGATAACACCACCGAAATGCTTAGAAAAGTAAAATTAAGATTCGATTCCACATTCACAGTTTCTATGGGCACCCTATATTTTTAACTAAATATCATTGTCATTCGCATTTGCATGCAAAAAGATATGAAAACCGCAAATGGCGTTTTTTTAATTATCGATTTGGCAGGACATAGCAGCTACCAAATCCTTGCCATCGCAAAACCCTTGTTATCATGTCACAAACGAGGCCAGAGCGTAGCACTTTGAGTAAATAAATGACTAATTGGGTGAGTGAGCGAGGGAGAGAAATTGCGGCAAAGTAAATATTGGACTTAAACAGATTTTGAATGGGATTAACGGTTTGCACACTAACATACCTAAGGAAATATGCGGGTTTTCACGAATTGCTACCGTTATTTAATCAAACACTGGAATAAAAGGTGGTCAGTGGCTATGAAAAGCATGCGTGGTTTGGAAAGTGAAGATATTTACTTGTACATGAAAATTTAACCGTATATTGAAAGCAATTAGTGAAAATATTATGTTATATCTGGCTACTCATACGCAGAGTATTATTCGCTTGTTTTATATTTTTGTATTTTTGGGTATGAAAGATTGCAGAATTTTCACTTTGTACGTATAAGGTATCGCTTATCTAAAGCTGATAACATTTTCTCATCTTTGTGTTATTTGTGGATGCCGCCCCAAAAAAGCCTATTTATGATATCTTGCTTCGATGTGAAGCGGAACAAATTGTAGTCAGAAGGGGCAAAGTCTGGGCTATAAGGCAGGTGAGTCAAAACTTACCAGCCGCTATTATCCAAATATTTTTTAACCGGTCTTGCGTTTTCATGATTTAGAATTATTGCTTCGTGTTTAGTCACATAATTCGGGCATTTTTCGGCAATCGCTCGCTTAAATTTGGTTAGTTGTTGTCGGTAGCACTTTAATGTTTTCACCCCATTTTAGAAGCTCATAATACAGCACGCCCTTTTGATCCCATCACAAACGGAGCATTACCTTTGCGTCATGAATATTCGAAGAGTTTTTCTTGTGTTGGCAACAATCTTCCAGCTCTTCTTCTACTTCTATTATAAGTGTCTCTATGATATAATACAAGTATATAACTCTAGATACTCATCTGTAGAAGAATAGTCGGTGAACTACGCCACAGTACGGTAATACCCCGACTTACGCTACCCCCCGTTTTACGCGAATTCGAAGATACGCGGTTTTTCATTTTATTGCCGCACGCATCGGCTCTCTCGCTCCGCCCTCTCAGTGTTCAGTTTGCGACAGGTTTAAACGTGTTCCGCGTGGAATTGTTTTACGTGCGCAGTGCTGTTTTACGTGGAAACATTGCTCAGTTATAATGTGATAATCAAGTAAGAGTGAAAAATTGTTTTGTTGATCAAAATACCGAGTGTCTTCAAGCAAAGCAGATTTTTCAAAAACTAAAAGAAGATGCTGGGAACGCGGCTAAAACTGAAGTGTTTAAAGTTAGTAATGGCTGGTTCAGCCGATTTAAGAGTCGTTGTAATTGGCATAGCATCCCATAGAGTGGGGAAGTAATTCAATGTTTTAGATGCTGTAAGAATTATTGGACAATCTTGGAATCTAATTTTTTAGATTTCAGAAAAAATGTATTCTAATGAACAACGCGTTTCTACTACGAGAAATGTAAAAATTACTGCTATGGTACGAGGAAATTTTGCGTG